AGTTCTTGATGGTTTGATTGCATGAATCTTTACTTGATTTGTGTTTGAATGATTCGATTGACATTTCTTGTAACATAAAATGACCACTGGGGTTATAATTGCATATAGAGTAAATTAAGAGAGATCTAATTTATTATGGGACACCTTCACATACACACTTAATCGTTTGCTAAGAGATTAGTAACGATTAAGGGCTCGTACGCTCGCTCACTTTGACAATAATTAGATACATGTCGCATGAGAGATCAGCATGGTTCCCTAAATTATTGTATTATACGCCGGGAGAGCGATTATAACTTAGTATTGATTTGCGTTGCTCAATTAAATAATTTTCATGTGATTGAGCTTGATCAGCCAGAAATATGATTACCCCAGAGTCAATCCTTATTCCCATCTGTCCTTAATTAGAATGTCCCAAACTTTATTTTCATTTAAATGCATTTTAATTTTCCAATCAAATCAAATTTCGCACATTGCATTTATTTTATTTAGTTTTAATCGCTGAATTTAGTTAATACTTAATTCTCTTTTGTCCGTCCCTGTGTAGACGATACTCGTACTTGCACCCTATTATACTACGTATTTTAAGTGCGAGAAAACTTACATCAGAACTAGAAAGATGACACGCTTATAAGTTAAACATCTACTATCAAGACAATCAGCCCAATCAGTATCTGAATAAGCAATAATATCATGGGAGGCAGCAAACAGTTGCAACACAAACCATGAGTCAATGTCCTTTAAACATACTGAAAAATGCGCTTAACAACAAAAAAATATGAAATGCGAGGATCATTCATAAATTGTGACACCAGATGTACAAAATATATAACACCAAATGATAGAGTATATGGGCCCACATACTCTAGGATACACAAGCGGTCCAGATCCATCCAACTACACCCCTCATTTGGGCCCCTCGGCCAGATGAGGGCACTAATGGGAAGAAGAAACCAAGACGGAACAAGGCTACACGAAATATTGGCTCAACACCACTGTTCGTACTAGTCACCTCGGGCTTGTGACACCTTGTTCGGCATAGGGCATGTGCCCCGGACAAAATTTCACTCAAGAAAATGAAACAACAATGATGAGCTGAGGCCCACTCGCACCTCGTCTCACAACACCTCGTCTCACATGACATAAGTATAAGTCACATAACTACTCAGCACTTAGTTAGCGAATGACACACGTCTCTCTCTGCATCACAACAGAACCCTCACCCATAGATTAGTTTACACGTGTACGGTTTTGTAATACTCCCTTGGGGTAGATGTAAACGACACTGAAATCATTAATTCTAGATATCTTTCTCTCTCCGACTCTTAGCTCTCCCTTCTCTCTCTACAATGTCACTAGCGGTTTATTGGTGAGCTATCATCAAGTGAAGTTTGTTTTTTGATTTTGAGACTATTATCAAGATCTAGATAGAAATTGATGTAACAAAAATGGTAAATGAATGAAGTAGGCTTGTTTAAGTCATTAATTAGTTTAAAATGCTAATATTCTTTTTCTTCTTTTCCACAGTATATTTCTTGGTATATAATATACATGGCCCAATCATTATAAAATAGTATGAACCCAACACAAATTAAAAAGAAAAATGTTATTGATAGACTTTTTTTGTATACACTTGGTACTCACTTTACATAACTTATATTTTTATTGTTCTAATTTTACGTTTTACCTCATTCTCTCATCACCCTCACCCGCTTCTATGTATTTGTCCCTCTCTCTCCTTACGTTTTTCTCCCCTCACTCTCTCTTCTTCTTTCTTTTTTCTTCCATATTCATAATCTTCACATCCAGGGATGGATTTAAGGGGGGCGCGGGGGTGCGATCGCCCCCCTTGGACTTTCAAGTTTTTCTACTATATATGTAATGTTTTTGTAAAATTTTGATACTATAATTAGATTCGCCCCCCTTAACTTCTTTTGAACATTGCCCCCCTTAACTTTTAGTTTTTAAAATTAATATATAGTCTTACATAATGTAATGCTTAATTGAAGATTTAAAAGAAGGAACATCTAAAATCATTTACATAACTTAAATAAACAATAGAAAAACTCATTATTTAAGATTTAGGATACTTATTATATAAACATTATTAGTTTTGTTAATTATCTTTATTAGATAACTAGTAAACAATTTTGAAAAATCTATATCAAACGATATTAAATACCAGACACTCTAGCTACAAAGTTTTTAGATCATGTGAAGTGAATCCAAATTATAAATGTTTATTGACATTAAATTACACAATTCATTTACTTCATACGTTCTAAAAAGGCTTTATTCCAATAGATAATAAACTTTAATTATTTTAGCATTAATACAAATATATTATGCAATATATATATATATATATATATATATATGAATTAGCAATATAATATTATTCTAAAAATAATAATATCATACACCTTCCACGGTAGACAAAAATTGTAATTCAAAAATCAATTCTTTATTTCTATAAGACTCGTGTAGTTAAACAATGTTGAAGTTATTTTAAAAGTATTGGTGAATTTGAACCTTATAAACTCTTTATATTTAAATAAAATGTTATATATCCTTTTTTATTTTTATATCATTTTCCTTTGATTTGCTAAAATTAGAATGTAATATATAGATTTAAATATCGTCATGCATGTATTAATGAATTTTATGAATTAAAATAGCCACAGAGCCTTACACTAGTGAAAAATTTCTCCCAGCTGCACTAGCAAAAAAAATCGCCCCGCTACACTAGTGAATTTTTATATCTCCTACACTAACGAAAATTTTCGCCCCCCTTGACTCAAAATCCTGGATCCGTCCCTGTTCACATCCACTGTATTCCATCTTCATCATCTTGTTTCCTCTTACATCATCATCACCATAATCATATCTTCCATATTTATCATATTTCATCTTCACCGTCTTCATCATCTTTCATTTTTCTTACTTCATCTTCCCATTTCCAAGATTCACTAGATATAGAAAGTCAATGGAAAATCAAATCGAAAATGAACAACAGTCAAAGTTATTATATGTGTCATCTACAAAAATTGCCAATGTCATCAAAGTTTGTCTGTATGAGAAACAAAACTTAAAAACTAGTGAATGTAGTTAACATTAGTGCATAGATAAAAATGCCACTGCACAAAAATTGGCCCGAATGCTTTTTGTAAATACGCAAGTGTGTGTGACACAGAAATTGATGTCATTGATTCATTGTACATACATTAGTTGTATGTGACACACAAAAATGTTTCTATTTGTATATACTTTGTAGGTGTCAAGCATTTTTTCTGCCACCGATGCCTAATATCTGCTCACAAACATTAGTTTATGTGCCATAGGCACTGACATCTCTATAAAAAAGGCAGACAAATCGATATATATGTCATAACATTACATATATTCCCTAATTGTTCAGTTTTACATGTTCAGAAAAATTATTTAGTATTTATTGGATGATAGCATACAATTGTTTAAGACCACACTGACAATAATTCTGACGACTATTCATCTCCAATTTATTTTCGGTAACTCTCTATCTCTGATTGTTTTTCTAATCTTGTTAGATAATAATGAGTGGAGAAGACGGAATGTTATGGTGAAGATAAAAGATGATGGAGATGGTGAAGATGATAAAATGGCTAATGTTATGTTGCATACGGATGGTGAAGATAAAGAAAGAAGAAAAAAAGAGAAATAATTACATATATATGACTAAAGCAAATGTTGTTTAAAAAATGTAAGCTCCTAAGCTTAGTGACCATAGTAATAACTTAGTCAAAGTATCTTATGTTTTACTTTTAGTTTTTTACATTGAAGTGATCATGAAACAACACTATAGTAATATTAGTCATATTTTTGTAAATAAAAAAGGAATAATGTATGAAAGGTTTTAATGGGGATGAGTCGGTGAAATCGAAAGCTGAATTGACAAAACCCGAATCGCAAACAAAAACAAGCCGAATTGCGTGAAAACCGAAACTGAATTTAAAAAACATGAACTAAACCTTAGTTGTTTGGTTTCGGTTTTGGTTTTCACCTTTGAAAATCGAACCAAACAAACCGAACTTTTTAAAACATGCTATTTTATTTATTAATCATGAAGTATAATATTTTATGCAGTTCGTAATTCTTAATTCTAGAAAGTTAATGTTTGATACTATACTTTTTACGATTTGCAAGATATTGATATTTGATATTTATTTTTTAATTAAATGAATCACTTGTACATACACTTTAGTGTGTTGCTATAATACGAATATGTTGATATTTTAAGTCATAATTTACATTTTGCTTGTTGCTGCATGACAATGATATTTTTTGTTATACTATTAGATACTTGTGTTTGTTATCACATAACTTTTTATTACAAAATATGTGTATTAATATAAACTATAGGTTAAACAACGTATCACAAAACATAAAACTTTGGAGCATGTATACCTACCTTTATATAAAAAGAAAGTAGACTAAGGTATTTAGTTATTACTATTGATAAAAATATATTAGTAAAAAATGAATTAGTGGAGAAAACATTTAATTTAAAAACAAAATTTTAACTTGCAGATACATTATATATAATTTGCATATATAAACTTATGCATTTAATTAACCAAAAAAAATTTAAATTGATATTAATTTATTGCATGGGAGTACAATATTTCTTATCTTTTTATTAATTACGTTTTTGCATTTTATTGCTATTAACTATACTGATATATTTTATTTTATTTTTGTTTATCTTTTTCAGTTATTACTTGTTGATCAACAAAAATATTTTGGCCAAAATCCAACTGAAACAAATTAGACCGAACACATCATTATTTCGATTTTATAAACAAACAAAAAAACAAACTAAATTTTTACTTTGATTCATCATTTAATTTTAGGTGAAAAACGAAATGTTTGAACCAAACTGTTTAAATGTGATATAGGAAAGGTGTACAAAGAAATTAGAAAGTACTACTAGTAGTATTATTATTGAATTAAAATTTCGCAACACATTCTTGAAAAGTCAAATTTCCATATTTTTTTAAAAGTATGCAGTTGATCACAACGGTGAGTCGCAAACCAGGGGCATAAAGCATATTCAATTCCGTCAGCCGACCACAGACAGCTACGCTACTATCTCAGCAGATTAACGCTACCAAACCTTAATTTCTTTCCTCAGTCTCAGCAATTTTTCTCTCTTTGGTCTCCAAGAATGCATTCCAATCACTTGTTGCTCGAAGAACCCATCAGGATGGTCTCCATCTTGGAGCCATCCAAAACCGTGAGTCTCTAATGCTTGTTTTAACGTGTAAACAAACTATTAGGGTGATTTTAACTGCAGATCCATGAATTTGTTTTCTTAGGTTCCGCTGTTTTCCTTAAGTAATGGTTTGATCATTGTTTCAGAATTTCTTCCCGGCAATGACGAAGATCGTCGGGACACTGGGTCCCAACTCTCGTTCTGTAGATGTTATCTCTGGGTGTCTCAACGCTGGGATGTCTGGTATTATACAGATACCAACTTATTTTGGTCATACCACGTATTTGTTGTCTTCAAAAAAGGTTTAGCGTTTTGGGTATTGACTTGCAGTTGCAAGATTTGATTTCTCATGGGGAGATGCTGATTATCACCAAGAGACTTTGGAGAATTTGAGGACTGCTATTAAGAAAACCAAGAAGCTCTGTGCTGTATGTATATAAAACAAATCATGGATCAATGTCGTGTTTTTTTTCTTAGTTATTTTTTAAGTTTCTTAACAGGCGCTATAAGGGATGTCAAACAAAATACAATCTTAGGTTAGATTGTGTCATGTTTAGTACTACCTGTCTCAGAATCTCAGGAAAAGAGTCCTGTTTGACGCAACTTTCTAATATTTTAAGCTAAAATTGCAATAAATCCTTAATCCTACTTGTACTCCTTAAATGTATAAGAAATTGCCCTATATAAGAGTATGTTTTACATAAATTGGAGTTAGCCTCGCCATCTTGAAACCATTATGTTATATAGTGTTCAATTGTTCATATTTTAATGCTTGATAATACCATAACATGTGAGTGATTTCAAGCTGGCATTACTTTACTACTATTTAGGAAAACTACGTTGTTTTTGCTCCTATTTTAGGAAATTTTCATATATTTAGTCTGTATAACTAATTTTACACTCTTTCTGTGGCAAATTACATGATAAGTTTTCTTGCTGGATTCTTTTTTTTTTGGTACAAAAAAGTGTTTCTCGAACACCTTTTTGGATGGAGGGTGTATTACTTAACAAGTTAGACGTGATGTTATAGGGAATATCCTACATAGGAATAAAACATAAAATGAAGTGCTATATGTTTTCCTAAATACTCCGTATGAGTAAAGTACTGACATCTTGACACTATAGTGAAATACTGACATCATACATACTACACAGTACTCCGGTACTCCCTTTATAGTCTTTTATTTGCAACACTTTCCTTCTTGGGCCGTATTTTAATCCTTACAAGACTTCCTTTTTATGAAAAGACTTATCTATCAAAATACCTAAATACCCTTACCTTTTACCCTTAATTACCTTCTCTCACCGGTCACCTACTTTATCACTTCACCATCTCTTTCCTAATTTATCACTTTACACTGCCCTACTATTTCCCTTAAACATTGTGCCAAAACCTAATGTTGCAAACAAAAGAATACAGATTACGCAGGGAGTATTATAGTATGTTTTCAGAATGAAAATATATATTCCTATTTATGTAAAGAAACATAGTACTATTATCTAGGGAAAACACATACTCCCCCGTCCCGCTAAGATGGTCTCATCTTTCCTTTTCGGTCCATCCTACTAAGATTGTCTCGTACTAAAACTTGTGTGGTTCAAAATAATTCTTACTTTATTTTTACTTTATCAATTCAATATCAACCACATAAACCTACTTTTCTTAATAACTGCATCACCTCCTCATGTCCCAATGTTAGTGGGACGGAGGTAGTATGTTTCACACTTTTCCTCCTGTTTAGCGCAATTCTTGATATATATAAAACATCTTCCTAGTTATTTTCTCCATAGGTTTTTAAAGTTAATGAAAAGACCTCTGTTCTTGTTTGGTTGGTCCTCTTAGTTTTGCTGTAGTTTGATGTGTCTGATATAATAAGCTTCAATGGAGACATCCACCATTTTATACAGTGTAAAATACCTAAATATGACTAGCATAGGGTTTCCCTGAGTAAGATAATCTGATCTTTCTTTATTTATAACCTTCCTTTAATGGCATTTTTTATTTAGTGATATTCTTTATTCAATTAATGATGTTCTCTATTTTTAACTAAATATATATGATTCAAAGAGTAAAGTCGTGATGGTCATGCACTCATGCTTGGAGAAAGTGACTATATCTTGATAATTTTTTAGGAAAATTATATCTTTGATATATTTGACAGATGAAACTCAACTGTGTTCTACTTGTGCCTTTCAGGTTATGTTAGATACAGTGGGCCCGGAGTTGCAGGTGGTTAACAAAAGTGAGAAGGCAATTTCACTTGAGGCAGATGGAATTGTTACTCTCACACCTGATCAGGGCCAAGAAGCATCTTCTCAAGTGTTGCCCATCAATTTTGCAGGCTTGTCTAAGGTACATCTATTTTGCATTTCCTCTTTGCCAATTTAACCTTGAAATAAAATTTGAAAATGAAATAAAAACATAACTTCTAAGACAAAACATATAACATATAATATGCTTTTATTTTTTAATATCTTGGATCATTATAATTATATATGAGAAATTAAATGTGATGGAAAAGATAAAAAACGAAAACCAATTAAAAGTTGTGGTACATCTAAAATGGACTCAACATTATTTGTTTGCTTTTCAGGTTGTGAAAAAGGGAGACACCATTTTCATTGGTCATTATCTCTTTACAGGAAGTGAGACTACTTCTGTTTGGCTAGAGGTACGGAATCAGTGTCGTGTTTTTGCTCTCTAGCTCCCTTTTTGGAGTTATCGTTACTTTTATGGAGTTGGATTTATAATAGTTGTGTCACTTGTATGTCATCCAGTGGGTTCTCATGTCCTCCTGTGAGAATTAAACATTTCTGTTTGGGTTGGCTGAACTGGATAGCAAAGATTTTTAGAATTTTATGATTTTATCTTCCAGTGCAAAAGGCTGGTTATTTTTTTCTTTATGAGTTAATGCTCTGAATGGCTTGTGCAGGTCGATGAAGTGAAGGACGTGGACGTGCTTTGTGTGATTAAGAACTCTGCAACTCTGGCTGGCTCATTGTTCACTCTGCATGCTTCTCAAATTCATATTGACCTGCCTACTCTATCTGACCAGGATAAAGAGGTAATTACCATAATTTCGGAGCAACACACGGCAACTTTGTGTAAATTTCATCAGAGATGTTAGGCAGTTTAAAATAGTACTCCCTCAGTCCCAAATTGTAAGATACATTTACTATTCACTTGGTCAACATAAATCACTCTTAATCTTTTACTTTATATAGCAAAAGTTTATTAAATTTGAATTATTTTTTGCAGGTTTTGTAGCGGTTTTAATGTAGTTTCTGAATATGTAAATTTTATTTTCTAAAACTAATTTGAGTGTTGACAGGGATCAATTTGCTTTATCGTCGGTCAAACATCGTAAACCGTAAAGTATCTTACAAATTGGGACGGAGGGAGTATGTTTTTAGAATTGTATGGTTAGATGTGAGATGCTGTATGTTACCAAAAAAATAGATGGTCTACTCTTGTAGTCATGTTCAGTCAAGGTACAACTGTGTGTAAGTATGAAATTTGCTGGTGACTATTTTTCCAAAACTTGCATCAAATTTTGGCTTGTTTGATCAACCATGGTTTTTTATATACTCCCTCTATCCCACAAAACTTGGCCATATTGATTTTTCGTGGTCAATGATGGTCAAGTTTGGCCAATGATAATTTTTTAAAAAGAAATCATTTAAAGTATGAAAATTACATGAAAATGTTCTTTATTATAAATACTTTCATACATGTATAGAAGTTATAAATTTAACACAAATATGAAAACTAAATCATTGTTCAAAGTTTATTATCATTGATAAAAAAATCAATTTAGGCAATATTTTTTGAACAGAGCGAATAGAAAATAGAAGTTTGAATCATGACTCTTTTGGGGGAAATTTGATGTTGTGATGTAGATGCATTTTTTACTCTGTGTTTCATGCGGCCACATTGTTGTTACAGGCCATCCATTCCCTTTTCATTCTCTTTGCTGATATCCTTAAGCTTGCTTAGTCATTAAAAACTAATGCTATTAGCACTTAGTCGGTTTTAATTTACATTCAAGCAGGAAGTTATCATAAACTACTTCTTGTTTCTTCTTCTTCTTCTTGTACATCGTTTGTGTTCATCTTTTTGTAGCTGTATTTCCTAAAATAATAGTTTAAGGACTAAACATAACTGCATAGTCATTATTGTCACGGCCATCACAGTCACTTCATAGTAAAATGGAACATCACCATGGTCATTGCAGTTACTTCAATCAGTCACTGTGTCATAAAATATTAGAATTCACATTTTTGTCAATTACTTTCATTTTAGTCATAATTTTTGTCACTATTTCCTTTTTGAGCTATATATAGTTATTTCTTATTCTAATTTATCATTAACTTTGTTTTAGGTTATAAGCACATGGGGTGTAGAAAACAAGATTGATTTCCTTTCACTGTCTTATACAAGACATGCTGCGGATGTTCGTGAGGTGGGCTAAGTGTTCAGCATATTCCTTTTTTGCGCACGATGGTTATGCATTTTGAGTTTTTCAGTAAATTTTCTGACCTTCGCATCTGTCAATTTCACTTAAGCTGATGGGGAATGGCTGTTTATGCTTAAATTCAGGCTCGTGAATTTCTTTCTAAGCTGGGAGACCTAAGTCAGACTCATATCTTTGCTAAAATTGAAAATGTAGAGGTAAGTTGTGTTTTAATAATGTAATGTTGATATCTTACTGATTCACTCTACTTCCGCTAAATTTGTTATTAATATCGATTGATAGTTTACTTTTTTATTCTAAAACAATCTCAATAGGGTTTAACTCATTTTGATGAGATCCTTCAAGAGGCTGATGGTATCATTCTTTCTCGTGGAAACCTTGGCATAGATCTCCCACCTGAGAAGGTTGGTTTATCTCATGTTGAACAACATATCACCTTTTTTGGCTATGAGCTACTTCATGAATATGAAGTTTTTTTCATCCTTTATTTTAAATAGTACCATAGAACCATGTATTTGTAAAAACATTGATACCCGTTTCCTTCATTTATATTTGTAAAAGAAAGAAATTTATAAAGTGACTTATATTTCAGTGCAATCCGACATCTGCTTACTAGTGCTTACTAGTGGCTTCCTGTTCATACTCTATTATTGTTTTACATACTCAAAATAATATAGTCAAAATAATATAGTTACTCCCTCCAGCGCTTATTATAAGGCATGCTTTTTGCTTTAGCACAAACACTGAAATGATTCAAAGCATTTAAAATATTATATACTTTTTAGGATTCTGTTAAACATTCTTGTGGGTCATTTAGAGACAATTGTGGGAAATTATTAAATGTGCATAAGTAATATAAAAGTGACTTAAATTTTGGACCGCCCTCATGTACCTTATAAGATGGACCGGGGAAGTATATGCTAGAGGAGTTTAGGTCGAGGTAGGTTTTCAAATATTTTTTTTCATTCATAATGAGCTTTAACGAATGAGGTTGAGCTTCTTATTTTCCCTTACATTCTTTATACCAAAGCAAAGTTAATTTTTAGCAGTCAAGATTTCCTTGATTATTAGATCAATTTAACAACACTGTTTTACACAACTTTTGAACCTAAATAGTTCAATTGTATTTTTTATTTTCTTAGTTATGTTGTAAAAACTTATGGAAAATTAGTATATTAGTAAATTTTAATCCATTTCTTCATACAGGGGAAATGACATTTAATTATTCTAGAGTTTTTACTGTTTTTGTCAAATTTGTGTCATTGTCAATGATTTCTTGATATGTCATTTTTCTCATTAAATACATTCAATGGGATTTGCAGGTCTTCTTGTTTCAGAAGGCTGCCTTGCATAAGTGTAATATGGCTGGAAAACCAGCTGTTGTAACACGTGTTGTAGATAGTATGACAGACAACCTTAGACCTACACGTGCTGAGGCAACGGATGTTGCTAATGCTGTGTTGGATGGTAAGTTCTAGAACTTGATTCTGTCAACAGATTAAATAAAGTTCATGTTTTCATATGAAATAGCTTATTTGTGGACCAAGAACACTTTTGAGGTGCATTCTCATTTCCTGTTGAGTGTAATTATGTATTTATATAACAGTTCAGGTGTAAATAAATAAGCAGATGCACATTTCCTTGTTTTTCACATCGTTATGAACTAATCAATATTTGACACTTTACACCTTATAGGAACTGATGCAATTCTTCTTGGTGCTGAGACTTTGCGTGGGCTATACCCTGTTGAGTGTATTTCCATTGTGGGCAAAATTTGTGCTGAGGTAATGTTGTATGTAAATTAAGAAGTTATAAGTAGAGATGCTAGGCATGTGATTTTTGAAGTTTTAGCACTGTGAATTAATTATAAACATATTGTTTCATTCTCTATCTCCGTCATTTTTTTGTTTGTGTCCTGATTGATTAACTCCTGCTCTCTCTGCAGTCAGAGAAGGTTTTTAATCAAGATATGTACTTCAAGAAGACTGTCAAATTTGTTGGGGAGCCTATGACGCACTTGGAATCAATTGCCTCCACTGCGGTAATATATTTAATTTGTATTTTTATTGTGTTGATCCCTACCCCCCCCCCCCCCCCCCCCCCCGAAGAAAATGGAAATGAGAGGTTTGGATAAGACTATTAGGACAGATTTGATTCTATTTGACACAAGAAAATAGCATCCAAGCCTTATTCTCAAAAGACTTTGGGGTTGGCAATCGGCTAACATGAATCGATCCATGATATCAGAGCCAAAAAGACAAGAAAGATAAGAATAATAAAAAGGTAAACTTAGATAAAATGGTTAAAATAAAGACAAATATAAGATAAAAGTAACATAGGAACATTAGAAAGATAAAAGAGCACAACAACAACATCCAAGCCTTAGTCCCAAAAGATATTGGGGTCGGCCATAAAAGAGCACAAGAAATATAAAAATAACATAAGAACATAAAAAGATAAAGAAGATAAAAGATAAATAAAAGGAGAGAGGAAAAAGAGAAAAAAGATCACTCGTTCACCCAAATATGCGCCATACATTTTGCTCTCTCCAAAGCCATATTCTCATCCAACCCAAGAAGAAGCATATGAGTTCTGTTTCCTCTAATAAAAGTCTGTTTGGGTCTTCCTCTCCCTCTCTGCCTCTTCTCCCCACCTCTCAAGCCGTTTAACAGGTGTATCACTCTGCCTACTGCGCACATGACCAAATCAATGCAATCGAGACTCCTGAATCTTATCTTCAATAGGTGTTTCTCCCACCTGTTGTCTGATTACCTCATTTCTCAAGCAGTCTTTTCTGGTATGTCCACACATCCAACGCAACATACGCATCTCAGTCACACTCATCTTTTGAATGTGATATTGTTTCACCAACACTCCGCGCCATACATCAATTCAGACCTAATTGTTGTCCGATAAAATTTACATCGATCATACCTCGATCACATAAAAATCCCGATGCACTCTTCCATTTCATCCACCTTGTTCTGATTCTATGGGACCCAAGTAACGGAACATATCACACATCGATATCTCCTTGCCATCATGGGTAATCTCACTGTTATTATTACTACCTCCACCAAACTTGCACTCCATATACTCAATCTTGCTTCGGCTCAGTCTGAACCCCCTGGTCTCCAATGTCTGTCGTCATACTTCCAAACTTCCAACTTTGCTTTAACACCCGATACAATATCATCAGCAAACATCATGTACTATAGTATATCTTCTTGAATTGAATTCGTAAGCCATCCATGACTATTTGACTCCATTTGACCAATGGATAAATTTAAAACATGCAGAAGTCAATACAGATTTACACTAAGATCAGATTATATATGAAGTTCATGGTTCAATTGTCCTTATTATGTATTATGATGAGTATGAAGAGCGCTAATTGGGTTGATCAGATTTGTAGAACAGATTTGACCCAATTTGACCAAATAAATAGATTTAAAAGTTATGACCCAACCAGTTCATATCTTCCAAAAGATGATAAGAAAGTTGAGTTGACTTATCTTGTAGGTACGTGCCGCCATCAAAGTGAAAGCTTCTGTGATTATTTGCTTCACTTCATCTGGAAGGGCTGCAAGGTACCTGATGATCTGCATATTTTTTAAAGTACTTATTGTTCTATATGATATATTTTGTGCTTATTAAAATGCAGGTTAATAGCAAAATATCGCCCAACAATGCCAGTGATATCAGTTGTCATTCCTCGCCTCAAGACAAATCAACTCAAGTGGAGTTTTAGCGGTGCATTTGAGGTTAAATCCTTTGATACCCATGACCACAATGTTAGGAATTTACACCCAATTATGATGTCATGCCTCTGTTTGTGTTCTACATTATGGCATTGTAATTGGTGTGTTGTGTTAGCGTTTCATTGCTGATCAGCCTTGATCAGCTAATCTATTTTCATTGAATAATTCATTTGATTTTTTTTACTTTTGGTCCTTTGACTATTTTGGCGATTATACCTTTGGTACCCCGCCTTTGAATGTTTCCACTTTTGGTTTTGTAGTGACCATGACACTTTTGATAGTTGTCTTTAAGTTGTGTAACAATAGTCGAAAGATCAAAAGTGCATTGCCAAAATAGCAAGACCAAAACGGTCAATTCACTATAGTTACAGGGTTGAAACTGAAAAAATTTTAAGTACCAAAAGTGTTTTTGTTGTAAGAATAAGAGAACCAAATCAGAGGACTGAGTACCAGTTGGAGGACTGCATGTGAAAAAATCTGGTTCATTAATATTTTCTAAAACATTTGTTTTGATGCTACTCTTATGGGTAAAAAATGATGCACAACTGCCACTTATTTTCTCCTTTCCCCAAACAACAAATCATTATCCTATGATGCCCTTATGTATACTCTCATGATTACTATTCATTAGTGAGACCAACTATTTTCATGCTTAATTAAAAATCAAATTATTTTGTATTTCGGCTATGTGTTTAACCCCTCTTGTTATTTTCAAGTAGCTTCTAAATATATATTAGATATTGTTTGTGTACTAATCAACTATACTTACCTTAATCCCAATAGTCGAGTTTACTCATACTGTAACTATTATCATTACTCATGTTTCTAGGCAAGGCAATCTCTGATTGTTCGTGGCCTTTTCCCCATGCTTGCTGATCCTCGACATCCTGTAAGTTTGCTTTTCACACTGTCATCCCCTTTTCCTTCAAAATTTGAATCGTACTCATTAGGCAATATCTTTCTGTGTACCCAAAAAATCGAGCAATATTATGTAGAAGAGTGTTTCCACTTTCAGTCTTTCGGCTGTTTTCTTAGGCCAATTACCAAATTACTAAATCAAATTAGAAGAACTGAAAATGTCAACTTCACAATACTTTGGGGTCTAAATGTCGGGAATTCTAATATTGATAACCAAAAGTGTTTCACTCACAAAAAATTGACCAATTTGTCGCCGTTGCTTTGTTTTTTACCAATTTGTCGCCGGAGCTTATTTTTTTTATCAATGTGTTGCCGGAGGCTTTGTTTTTACCAATTTTGTAAACCATCCTCTTCTTTTACCAATTTGGAAATTTGGCCTGTTTTCTGAGGGTACGTCCTTTTTTCCTTTTTAGTCGTTCAAGTATTGTGCTAATTGCACTTACAGACGGCACTTGCCACTGATTTGTTTTTTTCCGACCATTGTGATAGTGTCACTCTTACCACGTGTCTTCGAATTTTGGTACAATTGTTTGAGAACTGCAAGCGCCGTCACAATAGTCACCAAATTAAAATTTTAAAAGTGAAAAATATAAAGGTTACTAAAAAAGTCAATTGTCTCAATAGTGAGAGAACTAAAAGTGAAAAAAGTCTACTGTTGGACAGACTTGCCGTAATGTTTCTTGCAAAGCTTGATACATGCCACACTCATTTCCATCCCCGTTTTTTGTCTGTGATTCATTTTTGCTTGTTTGGTTTTGCAGGCCGAATCAACAAATGCGACAAACGACTCAGTACTAAAAGTTGCACTTGATCATGGGAAAGCCTCGGGGGTTGTGAAGTCACACGACCGGATAGTGGTATGCCAAAAAGTAGGAGATGCATCAGTGGTCAAGATTATTGAACTTGAGGACTGAGACAGCGAGCTGCCAATATGCGCGCGCACTCTACTGAAGCAATATCATCCGAGGTTTTCTATTTAATACTACTACCATCTTACGTATAATGTGAAATTGTAATGGGAAAAACCTATTGATGCAATCATGCAACCCCGTTTTGATGTCCATATGCTCGTGTAGATAATAATAATAATAATGCAGTCATACCAAATCAAATAAATGTTCAAGCGCCACTCCATATGTTCTCTTTTTGTTACACGCATAATTGTAACTATTCAATTACATGGAAGTGATGAAATCCAATCCCCCAACACTTATCAGCATCAAGCCGCCACTCATGGAGCTTGAAAGTCGAAAGCGCCACATAATATGGTACTTCGTATATCTTATGGTTTTGTATGTTGATGGAGGTTTACAAATTGTGCAAGTGATACTCCCTGGTCCCTCTTTTCCAATATAATCTTCACACTCAGTATAATCAACCATTTCATTTTTACGGTATTTATATTATTCCCTCTTTTCTATATAAACTGCAATCGTTAGTACTAATGAGTATGTCATCCGACTCCATGTGGCTTTTTGCCAAATGTCATACTCCCTCCGTCCCATAAAACTTGGCCAATGTTGACGTGGTTGATATTTGTGCAGAGGATAGAGAAATATCTTTAGACACATCCGGAGTATTTGTTACTTTAAATGAAAATGACAAAGTTTTTTGGGACGGTAAAAAAAGGAAAGTTGGCCAAGTTTTACGGATGAAGGTAGTATAAATTAAACAATGAATATAAAATTGGCTCCTTTAGTCCTTTATAACCTTTATTTTCATCTTATCAGTCTTGATGCTTTATTTTTAATTGTTACTCCCTCCGTCCCTAAATTATCTTCAAACTTTCCTTTTTCATCCGTCCCAAAATTATCTTCTCTTCCCCCTTTTAGCAAAAAATTTGTGGTTCACAACCATTCTTACACATTCTTACACATTTTTCTCTCCTCTGCACAACTCTCCACCACACAAATCCCACTATCTTAATAAATGTGCCCAGTCGAAAAGGGAGAAAGATTAGGGACGGAGGGAGTATTAAACATTGAACTTTCAATTTTATACGCTGACTTATTTTGTTGAAGAAAACTATTTTAAATTTTTTCATATTATTGTCCTTGATATTATTAATAAAATATATTTTAAATAATATTTTAATCAAATTCAACTAATTTAGTAATTTCAACCACTTTTTTACGGAGCATAAATTATGTCAAGACGTGAGAGGTGGCATTGGAGACATGACTATACTTCAATCATTGAATGTCTAAACGAAAACAGTATTTTATTCCTACTCCCTCCGTCCCAATTTGAGTTGCAAAATTTCCTTTTTTTGGTTGTCCCAAAATGGTTTTCCACTTTCTATTTTAAGTATGTAAATAAGAATAAAGTGACAAATTTATCCCTACTTTTATTTTTTCCCCATTAACTTAAAGACATCGACCTTTAGAAAGATGGATAAAAGTGTAAAAAGCAAACATCATTTATTGTCATTTTTTAATACTTGTGCCGATCAAAGTGTGCAATTCAATTCGGGATGGAGTATTAATTTGGAAAAATGGAAACTAATAATTCAACCTTTTAGCGGTCTTCTTACAATAGTCTCACCTTTTCATTATTCATGAATAATCCAATCTTTGCATCTCATCTTCATTGACTGGTCCATGACCGATTTATGACCTGTTATTCCAAATTATTTTCTTATCTTTGTAAAATATTATGTGACCGTAAGGTGAGAATTATGGTATAATGTTTTACAATCACATAATGTTTTGCAAAGATAAGAAAATAATGTTTTGCAAAGATAAGAAAATAACTTGGAATAACTAAATGGTGACTGAAAACATTATACCATAATTCTCACCTTACGATCACATAATGTTTTGCAAAGATAAGAAAATAACTTCGAATAACAGGTCATAAATCGATCAGGGACCAGTGAAATAGTGAATGAAGATGGGGTGCAAAGGTTGGATTATTCAGAAAATGTGGGACTATCGTAAGAAGACCGCTAAAAGGTTGGATTATTAATTTTCATTTTCCCTATTAATTTTTTAAGATACGCGAAGAGAAAGAAATAAACCAATACTATGTAATAATCAACCGGTTATTCAGTTTGAATTTTTTCAAGTATAAAGAATTGCAAATGTAAGTATAAGGAGTGATCCATACATTTAGTTCAGTGTATGGTTTCTACAAAATGGACAGGAACAGTTAAATTGCATTCAAAGTCTCTTTGATAAGTTAAAATGGACTAAAATGTGATCAAATTGTTAAAATGGTGACTGAAACGATCAAATTTATTAAATTATGAAAAACTTAAAGGCATAATGTTTATTTATTAATAAAAAAATACATGAAAAACACTAAGAATGTTTTTATTCTTGCATTCAAATTTAAGTATATAAATATTCAAATTTATTTCATTGTAAAAGGTTAACAATCTTGCATTCAATAGCTTAACTTCTCTCATTAAAAAAATCAGTCCAAGTAAAAACAACCGCATTTCCAACAAATTCAATTTCCTTCAACCCAACTTTTTTTGTATTTATATAATCAAGCTAATTAACCCAAGGATCATCAAATGGAGCTTATTTTTTGTTTGACTAGACGAATAAGCTGGTACACAATCAACCAAGATCAAGGAAAGATATAAACAGAATAACTCTACGTCTCTACCTCAGTTGCTGCAAGGTGAACTGAACTATGTTTGGACGTAAATAGAAATAACAGGGTTAAGGCATCTTTGATAAATGGCCACTATACAGATTATATCTCTTTTTTCCGTTGAATAAAGAATATCATGTTCAATGCAGAGCGGAAGAAAGACAAATAGCTTAATGTGGCAACCAAAAGGACTAACAACCTGTGACGAGTTTATGACCAAGATCAAAATTTTGAAGTGATAAAATGAACATAAAATAACCCTTGGTAATTCTCCGTATTTCAGTAAGCAAATTAAAAAGAACACATAGCTCAGCGTTTTCCACCTCCTCCTCCAATTTTAGGACCCTTGGCCTGTGCAGCAACTCTGGGGCCCTTCCCTGCCTTCTGTGACTTGGCCATCACCTCTGCCTTCTTCGCCTTCTTTTCATCTTTTGTCTTTTTTATCCTTTCCTTAATTTCACTGAATAAACAAGACATCTGTTAAGTACACAAGCACAACACCAAAATAACACCAGGACTGATAAATTTTGCAGCCCTGGCTTTAAATCATAGGATTGTCACATAAGATCTGTTTGGACGGAAGAGATGTCTTCTGAGGGCTTAATTGAAGATATAAACTAAGCCAATCAAAGATTTCACTCCCAACCGCTACATCCAAATGAAGTGGGAGAACTAGGATATACGCACCGGAGAGCAGCCTCCCTTGCTGCATCACGGACTTCTGGCTTTTCGGCTCTTTTCTTTTGGATTACCTCCATGGTTGCACCCACAATAGATCTAGAATAAGGCTTCTTTGTGGTGCGTCTCTTCCTCTTCACAGCCTCTTGAGCATGATCCTAAAAGTGCCACCAAAATAAGACCTCATGAAGCAAAAACATACTCCATCTGTATTTTAGAGATTGCTAAACTTTCCTTTTTGGGATGTATTTAAAAGTTTACTACACTTTCCTCCTCCGGTAAGTTTACCCTTCAAAAATACACAACTATCCTTGTTTAAAATACACAACTATCCTTATTTTTTCTACTATTATCCTCTTTCATACTTTTACACTCTCTCTCCTACTTTTTAAACACTTCATTATTCTTATTACTTTCCTCCTTAAATAATGTGTCAAAGCCAATGTAGTGATCTTTAAAATACGGAGGGAGTATCTAGATATAAGTCAGATAACAACAGGATAAGACATTTGCTTTAAAAACTCAAGGTGCAGAACACATATTGTAAAAAGATCTATTAACTTTTATTGAAGGGTTTTTTAGGGGACAAAACTAGAGGCAGGTGATTAAATTATTCCACTGTTCTGACTTTAGTCAGAAGAAACTGATCAAACAATCTAGCCTGTACAAGAATGTCCCGTTCCTCACCTTCTTGTGCTGTTTTCTGTACACAGCAGTCCACGTGAGCTTGGCAGGCTTCAAACGGTTATGAAAGTACCTCTTGCATTTTGATTGCGCAAACAAGAAAACCTAAAACAATGAATATGAATTAAGAATGCAACCGAAACACAATCACTTATTCATAAAAGTAACCACAAAAAAGAGAAAATAAGACATTGCTTCGGTTTCTTTCTCGGGACAAACCTGAGAATCTGCACGCACAAATCTGATTCCTTTCCCAGGATAAATCTTGGCACCACTAAAGCGGCAAAGTTCAGTCCTGCAATCACAAGTTCAAATTAATGCTACACCTATATAATATTCAACAGTTTATTTAATGAAGGATGAAAACAACCTATATGGACCACACTGGTTGCTTGAAAAATATACAACTAGACTTGATATTGAACACTTCTCAACCAGAAAAGGAAATTTGGAAAGAATTCATCCCGTAAACAGGGTGCCACAGCAAGCCATATATAATTATGGAGGAAGGTGAGATTTCCTGGAGCATATTATGGGTAGTGTCTGGAACTATGCAGATTTTATTTCTGCACATTCTAATTTGATGATAAATGATATTCAATGAAACCATCATTTGGGGCAAACTTGTCCACCCCATAAACATTCTTTGATTATTGATCATTTGGAAGCACTAACAGGACTCTTTCCTCTCCACGTGCTTTCAAATGTATTCAGGTATACATCAGGCAGCTTTAAGGGAATGTGCGGTCTAAAATCATTGAGGGACCACCGGACCAATGGTTATAGTGATAATTGATATAGAAGTGCAAATTGTTGAGATTTTGGCAGATTAGATTTTAGTATATAACCCCACCGTTAGTGGGAGTCTTTGCGGCACAGGGATAATGTTGTTGTAGTAGTATATATATACTTGGGGCACAACTCACTAAAGAACGTCTAAATGTTAGTCTTTTATAGTTTAGCATATTCTAGCAATAATATAAACAATCAGGATAAGTTTAAATGACTATAATTGGAGATGATTGAAAACATAATTGGAACCCCGCATATTAAATGTTGAATCACTTAACCATTTTACATATGCAGAAGGTTTCTGTTAGTATAGAATATTAAGTCTTGTATTGGAAACGGGTGTTTCAGACTACTAAAAATCACGATTTGGACCTTCTTGTAATGCAATAGACTAGCCACAATCTCTTCTATATATACAGTTTTTTGTTTAGGCAACAAATAATAGCCACAAAAGCACAAAGCATGTTGCAGTCAAATGACCAAACCAAGTAAGTCCACTCGATAGTAAAGTTAAGAAAGGGTTAGATGTAGGCAGGCAACATCTAGAATCAGAGTTTGTTTTCATCAACACATATCTAAGGAAAAAATGGGCAACTTTGGAAAGATTGACCATAGAAAACAATGAAGTCTTTAATTGCTTTTTGAAGAAAACATAACACATCCAGAAATGTAGTATGAAAAGTTTAGAAAAACAGAAAAATGCTCAATATAAGACCAAAACATACACACAGTTTAAAAATATGACCAAGTATGTTTTATTCTCCAAATAGGACTTATTTAAGAATAATGCTACATGTTTTAGCAAATCAACTTGCTTCATCACGCATTTCAAGCAAGAGCAATCACATAAACAGACAACAGTCATAAGAATTCGTAAGAGAAAACTACTCGGCAAGGGCTGCAAATCAGAAACATATATAGTAAGCCAGCGCTAAAGGCCTAATACACAGCCGAACAAAACAACCCTAAAGGTACAACCATCAGAGGGAAATGAAGAAGGAGAAGGATGTTTACTTGAGAACCATGGCTGCTGAAAGTTCGGTTCGAGAGCAGCTGCGAAAGAGGAACCCTAATTGTAATTTTCCTATAGAACAAAATAATGGATTTACTGCATTTTTTATGTAAATAAATAAATTAGGCTATTTTTTATGTACATCGTGAACAAAGCCCACGGGTTTACTGGATTTACTGATGGACATAGATTCGGCAAATCAGTCGCCCACATGCGCAAATGTTATTGGACAATTATGTAAATCCATAATTGTTTCATGAAAAATTCACATTTTTCTATTGCATTTCATTTTTATGGTACAAAGAATTATATTAAAGTATTGAAAAATGCAAAAAAAAGTTATTCGACGATATTTTTTCTAAAAACACTTCACTTTTTATTATTTAAATTTTTTATTTCAAAAATAATCTAAAATTTAAACATTATTCAAAACCTGGTACTTGACCCTCCATTCAGGGAGTGTAAAGTATATGGATTATGATAGATATTTTTCAATCTGTGAGCTTTTATATATAATATATAATACGAGTAACATTTAAATACTTAAATCTTGATGGTTTTTATTTAACAAAAAAAATACCTTTGATGAGTTACTCCGTTTAGTTATCGTGTTTCAATATACTTGAAGAATAATTTTTTAATGATTTAATTAATTTGTGATCCTATATACATAAATGGAGAATCCTCTCCCAAATCCCAAGAATTAATTTTCCTCCCACTTATGCATTAATTTACTTATGAACTTAATTAATTTTGACAATAAACATATTATAATTTTTTTCTTAATTATAAGCTTAAACAATAAACATGATGACAAACAACATAATTATAAGCCTAAGAATCATAAGAAAGTAATAATTTTCTGAAAGAATGGCCCCTATATTACTATTACCCTTTGGAATTCCAAAAACATGATTCCTTTTTAGTTTTCCAAAAAAGTGACCGCATGTCATTAATTTCGTACGCCTCATCCAATTTCAACGCACCTGTCTTGGTTTTATTTCCGCCTTTTTTCTCTCTTCCATTAACGACATTCCTTCTGGGAGACCCCTGCTCATTTTCTACCACCTTCATCTCTTTTCTTACTATTTTTTATCTTCGGCGGTATCAGCTCTCCTTCTCTCGTCGTCGCTACATCTCTCTCGTCTTCGTTGCAGACCAAAATTCTCGTTTGGCACTCGCAGGAAAATAGTTAAAGTTCTGGTTTTATGCCAATATCATGTGTATTATACGATTTCTTTAGTTTCTACTCTTATTTTCGAGTTCCATGTCTTTCTCACTCCCAACCCCTAATCTAGAAGTCGAATATGGGCAGTTCAATGCATAAAAATTAAACATTACTTTATTTTTGAATATGTCTTTGGCTTCTGTGTCATGGTCCTTGTATGTTGTTTTTTTGCATTCAAATTAGATTAAAAGTGTTATTCATCTGTTGCCATGACTTTTTGCTGAATGACTTGTTGTTGCTTTGGTATGGGATTCTTTTTACCCTTTTTGGGCTCGGATTGAATGTAGTTAATATTTGCCAATGTTTCATGATTCTGTTTTGGACTTCGATTGGAAAGCCTATGGTGGTTGTTTTTGTGAAATGAACGTTGCGCTCAAAGTAACAAATACAATTTGCTCAGTGATGCATGTACAGTTGTCACTTAGCATTCAAAAATTCTCTATATTCAGACAAAGATATAAGTTTTTTGTTTTCACTGTGTTACTTGAAGTAGGAACCATTTGAATTTGTTAGTCCAATCAGCCAATTAACTTGTTCTTGCTCCTTCCTTACTTAACACCATCAGGGAGTGTTATAAGCTTAGTATTACTAGTTAGTAATAACTTTCATATTGTTCTTCTGCATTTTAATTAGCTTAAATGTGTTGTTCAATTTTTGCAAAGACCAAATTTGTGTTTCATAGGTGACTGTTGATTTTTTTCGGGACACTTTTTCCTCATTTTGGACTTCAATTCAAATTATTGTATTTATAATCAACCTTTCGGTATTGAGCTCTTTACTATATTTGGAAAGCATTCGGTGGACTACATAAGTCACTTATCAGTCACATATCTCTCTCTCTCTCTCTCTCTCTCTCTCTCTCTCTCTCTCACACACACACACACACACACACACACATATATATATATATATATAAACAAAAAGAATTCAATGTGTTAGTAAGTAGTTTCCATTTCAACTTGGAAGTCTACATAAGTACTAGTCACTGCTAGTTAGTATCTCATTTACACCTTCACAGTGACAAGTACATACTTCACACCTCATTTTTACATTAATACGAGACATATAATGCTGCAAATGCTTACTTCCTCGTTATCACACATCACACGTATTTGTATATTTTTTATTTCATCATTTCTGTAGAGATGGGTGACAGTGACTTCGTATCCACACATCCCCTTCCACTTTCAGCTTCTAACGGCGTGCATAAAGAGGAAGTAATAAGTTTCTTCATCCTATATTCTTTTTCTATATGCCATCATATACACAATTAATATACCACATTTTCACAATATGTATGCGTTATGACTATGTGCTTGTGTTAATATTGTTTTCAGGCAGGCAAAAGATATTTGGACAAAGCCATTGCGAATTTGAATATAAAAAGGAAAGTCAATACGTTTTGTAGGTTGTATGATGCAATCAATCTAGTGAGGTCTAAATTACTTCCTAATCAGGTAGAACTGTTTAGGAAAACAGGTTTTGGGAAATTCCTAGATGCCAAGGAAATGTTATGTTCCGGGCTTGACGTTGAAGGAGGCAACAAGGAGTGTCCTAGGGATTTTGTTTTTGAAATTGAGGGTAGGAGACTAGTGTTCTCTATATCTCACTTGGCTGAGATTTTTGGATTCAATGTCGTTGATAACATTCCTCATGTAGAGAATGAAGTCACTGATAGGGGTCGTATTTGGGAGAAATACTTCCCCGCTTCCTCTAAATCTACCAAGAGAAATGCTATTAAGCAAGTCTTACAATCTATAAAAAGGGGTAGTGTGTCGGATAACGATATAGTTAAGTTGTCTCTCCTACATGTCTTATCTCAATCATTTTTAGCGGCTGAAGGTCAAGTTACTGTCAAAGGTAAGTACCTTAATCTGGTAGATAACTATTTAGTTAAGCTGTCTCTCCTACATGAATACCTATTTTAGAGCATCTGTTGCTAGCGTGAAGTCCAATCCTGAGCACTACAATATATACGGTTGTGTCCTTGCTCTTCAAATTTGGGCTTTCGAGAGTTTTCCAACACTGACAGACATTGAACTAGCTCAATGTGTTGACCCAACTGCCTGTCCGCTTTGCTTGAAATGGACTTCCACAACCAAAACGAATGCAGAAGTTTTGAAGAACACCATTTTCTGTAGGAAGCATGTAAGTGTACTGTTAATTATTTTGTTTATAGAATTATTGCTTACATTACAAGTCATCATCCTAATCCATAATTTCATTTACCTTTTTTTCCTACAGTTTGCATATGTTCCGATCCAAATCCAGAATGCAGTCATGGGTGAATGTTCTCGTTCTAAAAAAGATGAAAAAGTTGCCCCTGTCAACTGCTACTGCCAAAAAATCATCTTCCTCACCCTGACACCCCCCAAATACCTGTAACACACTTCTTAACCTTACTCCCAGTTTATCCTCTCGCACTCAGCCTACCAAAAACATCCCCCAACCTCTTTATGTTGCACCCATCTCAACCTCACCTGTGTGTACCAGGTCGAAGACCAATGTGTCCAAAGAAAACCAAATTATGACTACCCAGTCACCTAATGGCCATCCAGGTTCACCTTCTTGCGCTGATGCGACTTCCCATGATGAGCTGAAAGAACGAGTGCATACACTAGAACAACAACTCATCACAGTTAACAAGGACATCCTTTTACATCAGCAGAAGTTTGACCTTCAAGAGGCTGCCATTACGAAGTTGCGTGCTGATTTGCAGAAGATGGAGGCTACCACATCTTCAACAAATAACACCGTCCCACCAAATGCCCCACAGAATGCTTCAACACCACACCACTCTGGTTCACAAGAGACCACAATACATGTGCCTTCAGACGCTCCATCTTTTCATATCTCACTCACACCTACTGTCCCCTGTGAAACTAATCCAGTGACTGATGATTTGGGGTGGACTCAAGTCATTGACATTGCATATGAGATGCTCGAGGGAAATGTAAGTCTTTCATATTATGATGTTAAATGTTTATCACACCCCCTTACCATGTTTTATGTCCTTAAAGCGACACACACCATGTCAATTGTAAATACCTCTACGTCACTGAAGTTATAACTCCCCTCAACAATGCCTCCTCGTTCTTATCAGAAAACGTACGAAACACCTCGATATTCAGTTACTATAAACTCGTATTTATAGTAACTTTGTTTTCCTGCAGGCCACCACTTGCTTACCGCAGCCCCATCAATGCACCCCACAAGCTTTACAGGATACAACAGCACACTCAGCAAGTTCACTGTCCATCAAAAAATTCATACCATTTGAACTTTTACTTTACACTACATACCCACATTTGTTTTTTTATGACCACTTACTTCCTTGATTTGCTTTTGTTGAGGGTTCCAAAAAGGATAAGATTCAAACAGGCTCAAGTGATAGGATTTGCTCAAACGGCACTACTGCACTCATTCACAATAATACAGAGGTATATATTTTCTATACCATGAACTTTTCCACTACAACAAAGTTTTCAAAAAATCAATTATTTACGTACTTTAATTACTCGTCATCGAAGTATTTTTGAAATCGCCAGTGACTCATTCACACTACTTGAGTCACATCTAAGGCATTTCGTACACACAAACTACATACTATGCACTTCAAGTATAATTCACTACTAAGGCATAAACACTGTTGTGCCAAACAGGTGATCGATTCCAACCCTGACTCCAAGGCATGTGCTAAAGATGCTGTGAGCGAAAAAGCATGCCACTTAGTAACATATGTATCTGTCTTCATGTTCACCTCATTTCAATTTTTTATTTCAATTCACACACCACCATGTCTCTCACTTTTAATCCTGCACATTATGCACCTACACAATAATATTTTAAACCAAACTTTGTGTTTAATCAATCTTCCCATCTATTTCCAGATACCACCACCATCTCAACCAATGTGTAAAATCGGTAATATGCCTGCCAATGCTACAACTGTGTATGAACTGCGTTCATTTTTCATTGCTAGCTGTTCACATTCAATTATTAACCTTTTTTAACAATTGAGTATCACAACATCTACATAAACTCTCA